CCCCCCGGCTCCTAGCAGCGCCCTCCCGGCTCGCCTGCCACAATGCCTTGTGCTATCGGGTTTGCTTGCTTCAAGGAATTTTATTTATCGCTGCTTCTGCAGATTTGTAAAAGGTTCCGTAAGGAAACATAGGTGTGTTGGGGATGCAGTGGCTGACTCGGGGTTCAGCTGACACCCTGATGGCTGAGAGTGATGACATTCTCCCTCCCGCCTGTGCAGGGAGCCAAGGGGGACCCCGGCCCCATTGGCGCTCCTGGGAAGAGCGGCTTGACAGGACCCCCTGGATCAGCAGGACCACCAGGCCCCCCCGGCCCCCCTGGGCCTCCAGGACCAGGACTGGCTGCTGGGTTTGTGAGTACCGGCTACTCCTGGCCCCCAGAAAGTGGGCCTGCGCCCCACAGCTCCCTCCTGGCGTCCCACACTGACTGGCACTTCTGGGCAGTGGCCAAACGGGAGTTGCCCCCACTGGGCTGCCCTCTGGCCACATGGTGGCGTCCCCAGGTGTGGCCTGTGAGCAGCTGTGCAGGCTCAGCAGGACGGGCTGGTTGGCCTCGGGGTGCAGTGGATGTGGGTGTGCCTCCTGTCCTGTGGTGGAGCCTCGGACAGTGGCTGGGAGCAGATGCCCATTTCGGCAAACTCACTGCTCGGGGACCATGTCCCCTGTGTGACGCTGAAAGGCTGGTAAAGGGGACAAAAGCAGAAACTAAACACTATCGAATAAGTAACCTAAACTCAAGAGAGGCTGACCCGGTGCCCACCCAGCAGGTCCCTGTCCCCGGGCAGACGCTTCTTATCCGAGGACGAGGATGGCTGGCCGCTGTCAGGCCACCCGGCCCGTGGGTCTGCCCTGCTCAGCTGTGGCCGGATCTCTGCCTCAGGCCAGTGGGCGGACTCCGGGAGGGCCTCTTTCTATAAAAGGAGATGCACATCCCAGTGTCCCTCCTCTGCCCTCCTCCAGGATGACATGGAAGGCTCCGGGGGACCCTTCTGGTCGACAGCCCGAGGCGCCGACGGTCTGCAGGTACTGCCTGGTCACTGACCTGGTCAGCTCAGGGGGCGGGCCCTCCTGGGGTAGGGGCATCCCTGGGACAGGCCAGGGTGGCGGCCAGGAGTGGCCCTGAACGGCGGACAAGGCCACTGTCCCACGTGGGCGATGGCCTGGTGGCCGAGCTGAGTGAGCAGGGGCACAGTGGGCCCTGCTGGTGGCTCCTGCGAAGTCTCCTGTGACTCTAACTTGGGGAAGTAACACGCTTTCAATCTGAGTAGAATTTTAATTAAATAAATGGCGCTCCTATGAACGCCCCGCCTTGTTCTGCCCTTGACCTGGACGCTGGTCAGGAATCGGTTCGGCTGGCTCTAGGTGGTGCCAAGGACAGGCCACCCTCCTGTGGCACTTTGGGGGTGGGTGCTGGCTGCTGGGTTTTCCCCGCGTCCCCTGGGAGCCGGTGGCACTGGAGGGGCCGGGCTTGTGGGAGACGGGCCCGCCCGGCTGCACTGAGGACTCTTCCTTCCCTGCCCACAGGGACCCCCCGGAATCAAGGTCAGTGCGACATGAGTTAGCCGCTGCCCCTGCTGCACGCACACCCCCACCAGGAGTTATGTGGGAAATGGCGGATTACAGAAAAGCCCAACGGGGGACCACCATCATGCACCCCCATCCTGGAGCTAGTGTGTTGGGGGGCATCTGGCTCGTCTTTCTAAAGCCGTCTTTCTAAAGCCAGGGACTCAAGATCCCTGGCTTCATGCATCTGAAGTGTTTGCTGGCTTGGGGGGAAAGAGGGGCTTCATTAAGGAACCCCCACAGCCTCCAGGACAGCAGATGGCACCCCGAGACCCCAGGGGCTCCTCTTGGGCCGCCTCCCATGTTCCCTCCTGTCTGCTTGCTCTCTGCTCCCCGACCTGCCCTCAGGACACCAGCCCCTTCTCCCCGACAGCGCCCCTCCCGCGGGTGGTGAGAGCTGGAGGGGTCCTCCTCAGGCTGCTCTGTGCCCCGCCACATGCACGGGTTTGCGGGTACGGAGCCCACTGAAAGACCAGCCCCTGATGTCGCACCCCTTCCTTTTAGAATGTTTTGCTTTGATTTGCAAACCTTTGGGACAATTTAAAAGTTGAGTTTTTAGAAGGATGCACTTACTAGCTTTCTTAAATTGTAAAAAATGAAGTCATCTCCTAGAAAGAGATGATGTTATGATGTTATGGGTTCCAGAACAGTCCGCGTGCCCTTAGCGTGTGACCGACCCCCAGCCATGAAGGGGTCCCTGCACACGTTGCTCGGTGTCCCCGGGACCCTCAGCTCTGAGCTGGGGGAGGGGAGCGGTGTGAGAGACCACCTGACAAACCTTGTCCTGCTTTCCTTTGGAGGATGGGGGGGCACCACCGTGGGGGGCCGGCCCCGCATTGCACTCACACAGCCCCTTCTCTACTGTAGGGGGATCCTGGAATAGCCGGGCCATCAGGACCCAAGGTAAGACCTCTTCTCGTGCTCAGGAGATCGGCAATCTTTACCAGCCCTGGTCTGGGGCAGGGAGAGGTCCCCAGGCTCCGGCCAGAAGCCCCGGCTGGGCTGTGCCCCGTTGGCACCGTTGGCCCTGCCCCCCGGAGCCTCGGTAATGGGTTTGCACAGGGCCACCCTCGAGGCCAGGTCTAGCATTGCTCTCCCGCTCTCCCCGGGTTCGCCCTTGTGCCCTCTGGGCCCTGCCTGCATTCCTCAGAATTGAAGATATGCCTTCCCAAGGGCACCCACCCTGGGCTTTCCCGAGTCCTGGACCGGTTTCGCCTGGCTCCCAGCATCATGGGAGCCACACAAGTCCTCTGACACTCCACCCCCGATCCCCACGGACTCCAAGGAAGCCGACCAGGTTGACTCGCCCTTGGGTGTGAGCTAGTGACTCAAAGAAGCGCCAGCCTCTCACCTCCCGACGCCAGGTCACAGGGCGGTGTCTGACACATGGTCCTCTCATGTCCTCTGCAGGGAGAGGCTGGTGCAGATGGGCCCCCCGGATTCCCTGGCCTCCCCGGCAGAGACGGTGTGGCTGGAGCCCAGGTAGGTGACCACCCTGGGCTGCTGGGGGTGTGTATGTGACACCATGAAGATGAAAGTTAGCACCCCAGTGTCTCTTAGGGTCCCCTGACCTGGTTCTCTGCACTCCCAAAGAGCCCAGAGACCCCACTTTGTGGGATGAGTCGGGGGTTCAGGCTGCCCGAGGGGATTTTCTGCAGTTGCCTGCCTCACTCCCACTGCATTTGGTCGGGGGTCTCTGGGAAGGGGGCTCATGTTCTGTTTATGATTAAACATTTCCTTCCTGTCTGCAGGGTCCAAAAGGAGAAAAGGGGACCCAGGGAGAGAAAGTGAGTGGGGGGCTCGGGGTGCACAGAGGAGGGCCTTGGGGGCTGCTCTCTCTCTCACGCCACCTGAGGACCCTCTGGGGGACCCTCAAGTCTGAGGGGCTCTCCGGGTACCTCCTCACAGCCCGTGTACACTGGGAACCCCTCCCAAGTCTTGGGTGTGCTCTGAGGTCCTAGCTGAACACAGGCTTCCTCTTCTAGGGCGACCCAGGGAAGGATGGCGTGGGGAAGCCAGGCCCTCCAGGGCCCCCCGGACTTCCAGGACCCATCATCTACCTGTCAGAGCAGGACGTAAGGACACGGCGTGGGTGGGCACGTTGCTCTGCCCAGACCCCCAGCCACCAGGGGCCATGCTGTGCTCCAGTGGGGGCTGGGAGGACATCAGTCAGGGCCATCAGCCCTGCCCCTACAGAGCGGCCCCCAAAGCACTGGGCTGTCCAGACCGTGGTTCTGGGCGGGTTGCGTTCTCGGCCGTCGGAGCGGGGCCTCCCTGAGCTGCCCTGTTGGCAGTGCATCCCGTTTGTCCAAGTGGCACCTCCTCCAGATGTTGATGTGTCCCTCTAACTCCCCGTGCAGAGCATGGGAGGCAGAGCACAGGTCCCCTGGCCCTAGGGTCATGGACGGTACAGGGGGTGGGCTCCCAAGAGTGGCTTCACTTCTCGCCCGAGGGACTTTGAGGCAAAAGCCAGAAAGACGGTTGAAAGAAAGATTTTGTCCCACGTTTAATTTCTGGTGTTCTTGGGTCTTGTGGCGGTGACTTAATGAGCGTGGAATCTGAGCTGTAAACGTGGCTTTCCTTTCTCTCCGTGTTCTGGGTTTCTGCTGCCGTGCTGACAGAGAGCTGTGGCCCTCTCCCATGGGGTCAAGGTACGTGCCGCCCTGTCCGGAGCGTGGTTGGTGGTGGTGGGGTGGGGGGGCGGGGGTGCTGCCGCTGCAGGCATCTCACGTCGCCCATGACGCTGTCCCTCTCTCCCACAGGGCCAGCCGGGGAACGCGGGACTCCCAGTAAGTGGCCTCAGCCCCACCTCTGCCCTGGCGGGAGGGGTCTCCACGTTGTGAGGTAGCCCAGCGCCTGGTGGGTGCCCGTGAGGCTGAGGAACCTCCTGGTCCCAGAGCAGAAGCCCCCGGGTCCGGTGTGGGGGCCTCGGGCCGGATGGAGCAGCTCTCCTCTGCCTGTAACGGGTCAGAACCGAGAGGCAGGCACATCTGGGAGAGAGTGGCCAACGCAGGGGTGGGGTCACTGGTGCAGCCCCTCATTCCTGCCTGTCTCCCTGCAGGGACCAGCCGGGCCAGTGGGAGACGTGGGGTCCAGAGGCCAACAGGGACCCCCAGGACCCAAGGTAAGGGGCTCGGCACCATCTACTCAGGGCCCCCTCTGTGACCCTGAGGGGCGTTGCCAGTCTGCCCAAGTGACCACTCTGGGGTGAGGACCCGGGAGCCCCCACAGCCAACCCACACAAAGCCTGTGACGATTCCAACATGGGTTCTCCTGTTGGTCGCTTCCCTGGGACCCATGAGGGACCTGCCAAGACGCCCGACCACGGAGCCCCCAGCACGGAAGGCCTGCTCACTGCGCCTGTTCTGGGAGTTGGTGTGGACACGGAGTTGAGGCTTCGCTGTGGTGGGTGCGAGGGCCCCTCCCTGACCCCCCCGCCTGCATTTCAGGGCGAGAAGGGTGAGCCGGGTGCGGTCTTTGGCCCCGACGGCGGAGTGCTGGCCCCTTCCCTGAAAGGAGCCAAGGTAAGTCGGCCACCTGGGCCTGGCTTTTCGCCCCTTGTCCAGGGCGGGGGCGCAGGGTTTCCAGCGGCCGTGGAGACAGCACGGGCAGTTATCTTCCTGAGAGGGGCCAGCTCATGGCCATGCACGGGAGCCTCTCCTAAGCAGGGGCCGGAACCTCCTGCAGCCTGGGCCGCCTCGCCCTTCCCTGTCTGTTCCTCTCTCACAACCCCATTGGGAGGGCCCGCAAGGCCCCCAAGCCTGCCTGCTCAGATGGGCCGAGGCCCAGCCAGCCCCTGGTCGTCCCCTGCCCCTGTGGGCTGAGCCCACCCTGCAGAGGGACCGGGGCACTCGGGGCTGCAGCTCTGGGCTCACTCCTAGGCCTGGCATCACCTGCAGGAGATGGAGCCCCCTGCTTTGCCCAGCAGGAGCTGCCCCTCGGCCCCCGGAGACTGCTGTGGGGGGCCTTCCTTCCTCTAGTGGGAGCCACGCATGGCTGGGGCAGGAGTGGGCTGCTGGAGGAGCCCGTGCCCTGGGTGCCCTGCCCCCAGCAGGTGACTCTCAGACAGGCTTGTCCTGGGAAGCAGCTGGGGGTGGCTGTGGGTACAGGCTTGTGGGGGCCTTAAGGTACCCCCAGGATTCCTGGGAAGAGCAACAGGACCTTGGACCCCAGGCCGAGAGAGAACTCTGCCTGCCCCACCTGGCATCATATGTGAGGTCAGGGCTGCTGACCCCAGCCAGGGCACTGCCGGGTCCCAGGGTGCACCTCATCCATGCGCCTGGGACACAAACCCCACTGTACCCCACACAAAGCTCTCTGCCGCTTCCGTCCATCCCCTGGTCAGCACTTTGGGTGCAGCCCGGGGGACATCCGGATGGGCATAGGGACCTCTTGGGGGCTGCCCGGGGCGGGATGACCTGCGGCCACCTAACAGTGCTTCTGGTTTCTATTCAGGGAGAGCCTGGCTTCCGAGGACCCCCGGTGAGTAGGCCACGCTTTTCTGGTGTGACACGTGAGTGCCGCTGTCAGAAAGGTACCCGTTACCGCCTCGCTGCTGAGTGGCTGGACTTCACATCCCGGCTGCACCTTTAAAGCCCTGAACAGGTGTCAGCGGGAGACTCTCGGGGGGTGTCTTCTGACCTCACGCCGGGCTCCCCTTCTCTGCAGGGTCCATATGGAAGGCCTGGGCACAAGGGAGAGATCGGCTTCCCTGGGCGGCCGGTGAGGACCTGGGCTCTCCTGTGGGGGCAGCGGGCAGGGAGCGGCCCACTGCCCTTCCCGCTGTCCTGGCCCGGGCGGCCCTGCCTGAGCGTACACAGCAATCTGGGGCGTGGCCGACACCCCCAGGAGGGCCTGGGTGTGGACGGGAGCTGCTGGGGTGCTGCCAGGCTGGGGGTGGGCTGGACACCCTGGTGGGGACCGAGGTGCCAGCCAAGGCCACAGTGTCCTGAGGCGCAGTGCTCTCCCCAGGGCCGCCCCGGGATGAACGGATTCAAAGGGGAAAAAGGGGAACCGGGAGATGCCAGTGTCGGATTTGGTGCGAGGGTGAGTGTCCTGCAAGGGGTGGGCGGCACGGCTGGGACGCCCGGGACCCGAAGGGCCTGGCGGGAATGGCCTGGGGTTCCCAGGCTCATCTTCGGGAGGCTGCTCTGAGCGACCCTGTGGTGTGACCGCTGTGTGTTGGTCCTCTGAGGTGCAGACCCCCCCCCACACAGGTGGATAACACGCATGCACACGCTCTCACACAGCTGCACACACACATGCACACAGCCCCAGCCCACCAGGAATAGACTCACACATGCACACAGGTGAACAACATGCACACGCACACAGCCCACCGGGAACAGACTCACACATGCACACGCTCTCACACAGCTGCACACACACATGCACATGCACATGCACACAGCCCATGGGAAACAGATACCAGCGTGGTTTTCTCAGGAGGGCATCCAGGCAGATGTGGGTCCTGGGCTGTGGGTTCCTGTCACTCAACACCACTTTATAACTTGCAATAACCCTGCCGTCTTGTGAGCCCTGGGTTTTATTTCAGTAACCTCAGTGGCGTGAGGCACTTGTAGGCGTGTTTACCCGAGACTCAGCTTGCTTGTGACACGATGGCACCCTGCCTGCCACCTCGTACACTCTCTCCTAGAGGCCCAGCCCGGTCCATCTCATCCCCTCCCCATCTCTGGAAGGCCTTTCCCTCCCCCCTCACACACTCCCTGTCCCTGCCGGCGCCCCTGCGAGCTCACCTAGGCCAGGACCGTGGTCCTGAGCTCAGGGCTCCAGGCTGTCTGTTCCTCTGATTTTTCCTTCATGGCTGGCTCTCCACCGAGGTGCCCTTCCTTCTTGTGGACTGAAATGCAGCTGTCGTCCTGTAAAAAATCAGGAGCAGAGGCAGCAGCGTGCAGGTGCTGAGGCAGTGACCGAATTGCAGGCCACACCTGTGGATAGGGAGACAGGCCCCAGAGCTCTCTCGGAGCTGCTGAGTCCCAGAGGCTGCTGTGTGTGTGTGGTCCCTGCGGGTGACTCCCACTCCGCTCTGCTGCCGGCCCCGCCCTCCTTGGTCATTCTGACAACGGCTCAGAGAGAGACCACTGTGGTTGTCAGGACCGCTGCTGCCCACATGTGCCGCCCTGGCCAGTGTCGATGGCCTGGCTGTGAGCACGCAACCAGAACTTTCTGTTCCCCCACGCAGGGCCCACCTGGCCCCCCAGGACCTCCAGGGCCCCCAGGCCTTCCCGGGACCCCTGTGTATGACAGCAATGTAAGTCTCTCAGCACTCACTGCCCCGCTGGCCCTGCCCCCGTGCTCCTCACACAGAGCCTGGCACTGCTGCCTGCCTTCCCACCCGTGACCCCCAGGGAGGGGCAGCCCAAACCATGGGGGGGACTTCTGGGAGGGAGCTGGGTGGCGGGACCCAGGCCGCCTGTCTCGTGGGCGCCGTAGAAGACAAGCCCCCGAGGGAAGTGCATGGTGGGGCAGGGAGGGCTGTCTAGACCTGGACACCTGAGCCCCGTGGTCCTTGGGGCTCAGACGGGAAGTGACCCGGGAGCACGTCATGTCCCGACCAGGGCTTCTGATTACAAGCTCCATGTCCTCCCCTCCCCTCCCCTGAACCCTGTTTTGTGTGGGGGTGGCTGGGGGGGGCGCCTGTGTGGAGGGTGCTGGGACTTCTGGGCTCAGAGACCCCTGGGAGCGTGGTGGCCTCGGTTCCAGAGCGTCTTCCTCAGCTTTGGCCCTACTTTGCAGGCGTTTGTGGAGCCTGGCCCGTCTGGACCTCCGGGATTGCCAGGTGAGGGCTCCTGGGGCCTCGGGGACAGCCGGGGGGCTGGATGCCCTAGGACGTGGCGCTCCCTGCTTACCCAGCTCCGAGGCAGCGTGGACTCCCCGGAGCCTGACCATGGGCAGGAGAGGACACTGAGTGGCCACCCCTGCTGTCTACAATTTAGATCTGCTTGCTGCCAAGCAGGGGTGGAGATGCCCAGACTGTGTCTGCCCCGTACGAGTGGCATGGTCCCTGGGCGCCACCATAGAGCGCCTCTGCTGATGTTGCTCTGATGGTCCCCAAGTCCCCATGCTGTCCCGCTCTTAGGTTCAGGCCCTTCCCAGTGTACTCAGCACCCACCAGGGTAAGGGACATGCCCCTCTCACACATATGCTAATGAGCACTGGGGTCTCTGTCCCTACAGGGCATGCGGGGCCTTCGGGACCAAAGGGTGACAAAGGAGAAGTGGGTCTTCCTGGCCCACCAGGTGAGAGCTCTGGGTGGCTCGGGCCGAGGGGCTGCGCGTGTGCTAACCTGTCCCTCCCTCCTGGAGGAAGGATGCCCCTTCTGGGCTCACAGAGCCCTAACAGGACCTGTGGGGCTGGGGCTGGAACTCGGGGATGCCCGGCTGGCCCCACAGGGCCGGGGGGGGGGCAGTGACAATGAGGCCAAGGCGGTGGCCAGGCAGGGGTCCTGTCACCCCACCCGCTGAGGAGCAGGGCACCCCCTGAGCACTGGGGTCCTGGGGTGCTCCTCTGTCATGACCATGCAGGGCCTCGTTGGAGCAGGCTGCCCACGGGCGATGTTCCCTCGGATAGGGAGCATCTGCTGTTGGATAAAATGCGAGCAACAAGGGTGTGATGTCTGAGGGAGGCAGGCCGGAAGCCCGGAGGCTGAGGCCCTCCTGACCCCCAGGCACTGCCGACTACAGGGTGACTGGTCTGGGCACTAGTGAGGAGGGGCCGCGGCCCAGAGTAGGGCGGGACTGAGCGGGCACGCGACGTGGCAGAACGAACCGGAATTCGAGAGGGGAATCAGACGATGGACAGACCATGGGGCCCCAGCTAGTGGCATTTCCAGACCTGGGCTTATGTGATGGTGACGTTCAAGGTCCACAGAAGATGGACCTGTGGGCAGAGAGCTGGATCCCACAGCAACAAGTCGGGTCTAGTTCTGGAACCGAAACTGTGCCACCGGACCTGAGGGCTCTGCTGAGTTTTTGAGGATGAGACAGGATGGAATAGAGTGGACCAGAGGTCAGCACTGTCCAGCACACGCTCTGAGGGTGGACAGTCCCGAGGGAGTGAGGACATCGTGGCCATCGGGCCAGAAAAGGGGTGGCCACCAGCAGAAGAGCGCGTGAAGGCGAAATGGCCCAGAGCTTCGTTTCCCCAAACTGAAGACAGATTCAAGGAGCACTTGACACAAAGGCGCGACGAGACCGAGAGCCGAGTTCCCAACAGAATGAGACAGCAGGAGATGATAAAGGCTTCAGATGTGGAGAGAAATAACTTCCGAAGGAGCACGAAGGTTGGCGGTGAGGCCATCCCGGACACTAGCCCTGACGGTGAGGGGTCCTTCGGGGGGAGGCAGCGTGCTGCTGAGACGCGGGACCAAGCCTGGTGACCACCGGCGCATTCAGGGCACGGCAGTGGGTGCGCAAGGCTCTGAGACCGTCCCTGCCCTCATGCACGCGGGACCCCACGTCAGGGTGTGCCACCCCCTGGGCGAGCCAAGAGCGGAAAAGGAACGTGCATCTTGTAGCCTAACGGAAAGGAGGAGCAGCATAGAAGCCTTCACCCAAAAGACGGTCGGAAAGGAGACAAAAAGGAGCACACAGGTGGAACACAGGAAACAGGAAGTAAACGTTAATTTAACCCACAGCTATCGGTAAGCCAGGAAACCTCAGACTGAATGTGCCTATTAGCATACGAGCATCAGTGAGATAAAAACAAAACTCAGCTGCTTAACAGACACTCCGGAAACAGGAGGACATGAAAGCATGTGTGTGCACACGTGAGCATGTGAGTGCGTGTATAAGCACGTGCATAGACCCAAACAAGGGTATCTTCAGGCAGAAACGCTGCCAGAAATAAAATATTCACAATGGTAAAAGAAAACCCAACAGAAAGGGGGAAATAAAGCAAACCCAAAGCTGTATGCACCTAACAGGTTCGAGATATAAAAAGCAAGCCCAACAAAACTAAACGGAAAACACACAAGCCAGCCAGTAAGAAGAGGGAGATTTTAACCCGGCTCTCAGTAAGTGATGGGACCGGCAGAAACAGGATGGGTCAGTCGGGAGCTGGAGGCTCTGAACAGCCGGTGACACCCTGGCACCCACAATGGGGATGTGGCATGCTCACCACAGGGGCCCACACCAGGCAGGAGCAAGTCTACAAGTTGTGAAGGGGTGATGTCACACAGTCGTTCTCTGAGCAGTGGACATAAGCAGGAGGTCACCAGGGACGTCACTGGAAAGTGCCCATGGTGTGGTACCTTCCAGACACCGCGGAACCACAACAGAAGCTGAACGCCCTGTGCTGAGGGCGAGGACGCTGGCGTGCAGGGGCTCTCGGCCCTCGCTCTGCGCCCGCAGTGGTCCTGGGCAGCGGAACCCCAGCCCCTGCGCAGTGGGAAGGACCTGGGACCGGAGCTGGTGAGGGCACGCCGGCTGGCTGCCCTGCTGGGCGTGGAGTGGCCCGCGACACCTGAGAGGAGAGCAGAGCTGGGGCTCCCACCAGCCCTCCCAGGCCCCGCCTTCCAGCTCTGTCAGGTGTCGGGGGAAGGTTAACCCAAGGTCACTTTGTTAACTAGTCACAAAATCACAACTTTTGTAAGCATCCAGCTCAAGAAGTTAGAAAACAAATAGCAAATTTAACTTGAAGCAAATGGGAAGAAACAGTAAAGATTAGAAGTGAATGAAAAAATGTATAGTAGGAAATATCCAGACAGTGAAAACATCCAGTGAGTCCTCTGCAAACACTGACGGCACCAACACGCCCCTGGCAGGGCTGACAAAAGAGAGAGCGGCACCAAGTGATGTGGGGACGGGCTGCTCCGTGGGTGGCTTGGTGACGTGTCCCCGGGGGCGTGAGGTGGGGTGTCTGATCATCGCTGCGGGTGGTCGGGGGCCCGGGACAGAGGCAGGGGTGGGACACATGTGGTGTGTGTTTTTGGACGGGAAGAAATAAACCTGCCGTTTTCACGGATGACGTTTTTGAACATCACCAACCTAAGAGGATAAACTGTTAGGATTAATAAGTAAGTTTACTAAGGTCACAGGGCCATTTCCAAAGTCACGACCAACCATAAACAATGAAATTCTTTAAAGGCGCCTTTTAGAAAAAGAGATCGGATCGGTGATTACCGGGTGTGGGGGGTTGGGATTGGATGACAGGGGTCAACAGGTAGAAACTTCCAGCTCTCAGATGCGTGAGTCCTGGGGGCGTGACGCAGGACGTGGGGCGACGGTTGTGCTGCTGTGTGGTGTGTTAGGAAGCTGCTAAGACAGTGGACCCTTAAAGTTCCGTCACAAGGGAAAGGAACACTTTTTTCTCTTTGTACCCATATGAGAGGACGAAGTTAGCTAAACCGCTGATCATTTCACACTAATGGTTTGAGCGTAAGTCAAACCATTCTGCCACACACTGTAAACTTACACAGTGATGTCGATAAACCTGAAAGAAAAAAGACACCATTCACAAAAACACCCCAAAAATCAACTCACTGGGAGTAAGTGTAACAAAATCAGCAGCGGTCACCACAGAAGTTAGAAGGCGTAGATAGGGCCGGAGTGGGGGTGACTGGGAGACACTGCACAGACGTCTCGCTGAGCCCCTCCATCTCTCCCGTAGGGCAGTTCCCGTTCGACCTGCTCCAGCTGGAGGCTGAGATGAAGGTAGGGGGCACAGCCTGTGCTCGGCCCGCCTTGGACCACGTCCCCCCAGCACTGTCCTCTGCCCACCCCATGAGGGGCACTGGCCATCCATGGCTTCGCTTTGCCTTTGTTGGGGTCTCACTAGGACGCAGTGGGAGGCCTGCCAGGCGCTCCCGCTGCCTCACCCTGCCCACCGCGGCGCGAGGGGGGGTACCCACTCCCCCTCTCCCACGCCAGCACGGAGAGCTGGGGTGTCTCGGACCTGTTGCAGACGAGCGTTTCCATTCACAGGGGGAAAAGGGCGACCGAGGCGATGCCGGGCAGAAAGGAGAGAGGGGAGAACCTGGGGGTGGTGGCTTCTTTGGCTCCAGCGTACCTGGACCCCCCGGCCCGCCAGGCTACCCTGGGATTCCGGTAAGTCTGGGCCCCAGGCCACCCCACGGGGGCCCACACACAGGCCCAGGCCTGTGCCAGAGCCCGTGTCCCTGGAGGTCCCTGGGACCAGGAGCCCAGGGCAGGACCAGCCTGGCCGGGGACAGCTGCTGAGGCCCCCAAGCACCCCATCCCTGTTCCCTGCCCCTGTGGGGGCATGTGGCAGGCCCAGTGGGGCCACAGCCACTGCCCGTCAGAGTAGGTACACTGACCTGGGGGTGCCTCCAGCAGTGGCAGCAGTGGGGGGACAGGGTGGGGCCCTCACACCCTCCCCAGTCCTTGGGCCTTGTACCTGATATGCTGGCCCTGTGTTTCCAGAGAAGGACCCTTGAGAGCCCCTCGGGGACCGTCACACTGAGAGACTCCCGGGGACAGCGGGCCCAACTCTTCCTGGGGGATGGAGGGGCCTGAGTGTCCTTGGGGGCCACGCCTCTGTTTTGGGGCCTCTCTGATCCATGTGCTCTGATCAAAGCCCAGGACAGATTGGGTGGGGCCGGGTGTCCCCGACTTGGGCCTGGGCCGGGAGGTGACATGGCTCCGAGGCCGTGCTCCCTGCAGAGACAGCCCCGCCCTTCAGACTTTTGTATCCTGGCCTAGGGGACCTAGGTGACAGTGCCACGTGTTTTGTTGTCTACCCTAGGGTCCCAAAGGAGAGAGCATCAGGGGCCAGCCCGGCCCACCCGGACCGCAGGGACCCCCTGGCATCGGCTGGGCGGGACGCCAGGGGCCTCCCGGGCCCCCAGGCCCTCCCGGGCCCCCAGGACCCCCTTCCTTTCCTGGCCCTTACAGGCAGAGTAAGTCCGGTGGGCAGCGGGCCTGGGCTCCAGCCTAGTCCAGCCGGGGCTGGCATGTCCCCACCTCTGGTTCTGTCTCATAGCTATCAGCGTTCCTGGGCCCCCAGGTCCACCTGGCCCCCCAGGGCCCCCTGGAACCATGGGCACCTCCTCAGGGGTAAGTGCCCCTGCCCATCAGACCCTCCCTGTGGGTGGGACTGCCTCAGAGGAGCCCCGGGAGGACCCCACAGGGACCCCAACACGAGGCCAGCTCTGCCCCAGGACAGACACACAGAGGCCCTGAGCTGTGGTTTCTGAAGTGAAAGGGGGTACAGGGGGGCGGCTGGGACTGAGATGGGCAGGGGGAGGATGGCAGAGGGCCCGGTGGGCAGACCCGCTGTGCAGGCTGGTGGGCCAGGCACTCGCAGTGCTCATCGGTAACTGGGGGGCTTGGCGCCAAGCCCCCGCCTTCCCTGGGGGTGGCCTCAGCCACCCAGCCATCGCAGGGCTCTCTCGGGGGCCAGCAGACGAGAGGGTGCCCACTTAAGTATTAAGGACTGTCCCTCGTCAGGCTGTCTGTGTCCCATCCTCACACCCTGAAATGTGCAAACTCAGCCCCCGAGTGCCCCCGCTGCTCCCCGCTTGCCCGTGAGCCTGCGCTGCCTGGGTGGCAGTGGGTCTCCACGGCTGGGCCTCCCGCAGGTCAGGATGTGGCCCACGTACCAAAGCATGCTGGACAAGGTCCCCGAGGTGCCGGAGGGCTGGCTCATGTTCGTGGCCGAGAGGGAGGAACTGTACGTCCGTGTCCGGAACGGGTTCAGGAAGGTGGTGGTGAGTTCTGCGGACGGCCTGCGCTGCACACGGACGGGGCCGTGGCCTCCGCCCTCTCGTGGGGGGAGGACATGGGAGAAGATGCAAGGTGGGGAGGGTCTGGTGGAGGAGGTGGGCACCACGCCCACGCGGGGGCAGGTGACAGGTGACAGCCAGCACTCCTCATGTGCTGTTGTTACGTTAGTAGACTGTTTTGAGCAGTTTCACGTATGGGAAGCAGCGTCCCTCACTCACACTTGTTACAAGGACGCATTAGATGTGGCGGCCTGCCAGGCACGGGGCAGGCAGACACGTGGCCTCCTGCGGGAGGGAGGGCTGCTGGCTGGGGGTGCTGGCCAGTCAGAGGTCGCTGGGCTGACCCCGTGTCTTCTTCCAGCTGGAGGCCCGGATGCCACTCCCACGTGGGACGGTAAGGAGTGCTCTTCTCGTCACAGCTGCCAGCCTAGCAACGCACGTCTCCAAGCCTGGGGGGCAAACCTGGGGGATGCCAGAGCAACACTTGGTGCTTTGGGACCTTGGGGCCACCCCTGCTGGACAGGGGCTCCCTTCAGTCCCCACTGTCCATTTGTGTTTGTTGTTCCTCATCCAGAGTGCAGGGCACAGGGTCAGACCCTTCTGGACGGAGGGGCGGGGGCTGGGTGGACGGATGGGCTGAGTCACTATTTTGTCCCACTGCGGGGGTCTTTGAGTACAAGTCACAACTCCTCAAGTGGCCCAGGACGAGGCTGTGTCAAGTAGTGAGTTGGGGGTTCTGTGTCAGCCTGTGGCCCAGGGAACGTGGCAAGTCCATTCTCTCTCGTTCGTTCATTCGTTCGTTCATTCAGCACAGCCGGGCCCCTCCCACATGCTGAGCGCTGTTCTGGGCACCAGGTCTAGCTGTGCATGAAACAGGCAAAGGCATCCCCCCACTGACATTGTATGGGGGGGTGGGCAGTAAAGATAATAGGTTTGTCACTTTGTTATATGAAGCATAATACGTAATTATATAAATGTAAGCATTTTACATAAATACATGTAAGTTAATTACATGAGCTATAATCATATTATAAACAGGTGATAGGTGCCTAGTAATAGGGATGTAGGTAATAGGAGTGAATTATGTGGTGTGTCTGGCTTTCAGTGCTGTGGGAAAAAAGGCACTTGGGCGTCGGGTGGGGGCCCAGGGTTGGGACTTACAGGGTGGAGGTGGCCTCTGCAGTGGGAGTGGAGCGAAGGTGCCTGCGGGGATCCCAGCCCCGTGTCTTAGCTGCGGCCAGGAGGCCTTGAGATCAGGGCGTGTGATCGCCCAAGGATCCTGGGCCACCCACCGCAGGGAGGCGGCTTCTGAGAGCAATGGAGCCGGGGGTTCATGAGCAGAGGGCCATTGGTGTGAACGGGCTGGCCAGGCCCCCCGGC